AGACGCCTTCTATCTTAATATCAATATCATTATTTAATTTAAATAAAATCAATTTTTCTTATATCATCTATCATTTCAAGGTGTTCCGTACATGTTTTTGGTCCTTCGAGCTCCGTAGCGGGACCCAAAATTCGGGTTTTAATGATCGGAAAAAGGGTTTCTTCTCAGTTATATTTTACCTTAGATATTTACACATGTCAAGATAATTTATGATAGCGTAAACGAAAGCCTCAATACCATAAAAAAACCTAGACGTAAATTTACGGAATGCGCTCAACTGCTGCGAAAAATGCACTCTTCGATTCGGTCAAGTAAGTTCGGAGCGCGTCTGAACCGTCTTATTAGTCCGAAATAATTGCATGCTCAAGGGAGACTCATCCATATCATATCCTTGTGTCTGTTTCTAGTATTTACACAATGAATATCACTTATTTTTGTAATGCTTTTATTTTTGTGTAAGTACATTACATTTTCATAAATGTATTGAGAGGCCAAAGTTAATGTATTCATTTCATTAAAATTTTGTCTGAGCGACTCTTTAGGGTAAATCATAGTTTGTTCTAATGGCTCTCTTTTGTAAAACAAATATATTTTCAGTGTTAATCACGTGTCCCCATAGCAAATTACCATACCATTTTATGCTACGAAAATAGAGAAACTAACCTCGTCTAGCTGTTTCAATACTGGTAAGACTTCTAACCTTTTTTACAGCATATGCTGCAGAACTAAGTCTGCTCGCTAGTTTTGATATATGGGTGCCCCATTGAAGCTTTGCGTCTAGTGTGATTCCAAGAAAACATGTTTGACATTCGGAGTTATGAATTTTATACATTTAGTTTTGGTGCCATTTAAATGCAAATTATGAATGTTAAACCGATTTACTAATTTAGATGTAGCATTATTTACTTCGTCATAATTTGGTGACTGTCGCTTTAATTTAATAATTTAAAAATTGAAGTGTCATCAGCATTTAATACGGTTATCCCCTACTACGAGTATGTAAGGTAAATCATTAATATATAAATGTAACAAAAATGGGCACCCCCATTTGTACCATCGATCCGGAAAAATTATTAATGACAACTTTTTACCTTCTTTTAACTTAAATATGAAATAATTAATTTAAGGAACATTACTTCTTACACTATACTATAAGTAAGTATTTAGTTTAATTATTTCATTTTACTGAATTTTTTAAACGATAAACTAAACACTAATATTAATATTATTATTGCAGTAGTTCTGTTTTATTTAAACAATTATATATATACAAATATTCTTCCGATAAATAAACTTCCTCACGACGTTTGTATCATTCGTTTTCTAAAATTTCTAAATGATATTATTATCTGTTTATTTTCTCTAAAAGTTTAAATCACCGCCGAACTACATCTCGGAATTACTCGCCATCACAGTTCTGTATACGTACAACAAGCAGGCACAACTTAGCTAAGACATATACCAGTTTTGTACTTCTCAACTTTCTCCACATATGTATGTATAATGAGATTTATAGAGAATTATTATTGATTATGCACTATTCAGAAGAAGTATCCAAAAGGAGACTATTGGGTGGCGGGAATATGGCTTATTAGCGATGACTGATAAAAAGCTTTAGTAACAAGTCAATCAAATTGTTACTTAGGCGTGTGTCATCGATGATGGCGCGCCTTGCGCCATATAGGGAACGCATTTGATAGATGAAGTATCTAGCTGCACTAGAACAATGTTTTGTCGTATTATATAAATATTGAATATGATCCCAAGGGTTTAACAGTTTCTCGTGTAAAAAGTCAGGCGCCACACTCTAGAGGCGCATACCAATGTCGGCAGAAATACCTACGTCTACAAGTCAATTCAAAAAGGGATTCTATAAAATACTATTAAAGACCGTTAGGGATGTCGCCAGTAGAAAATTATTATGCCATGTCGCAAAATAAAAAATAATCACGAGATTAATCCCTCAAACGTGAGAAGATTTTATTAGGCTTGCATTGTGAAGAATCATAAAAAGAAGCGGAGAAGTCGGCTTATCAAATGATTTTTTGTACTGCATGTGTGCAAAATTAACTTCTATTTCGAAATCGAAGAAACTACGCAGGCAACATCTTTTTGTATATTTTTTCAATATACAACGTTTTTTTAATACAACAGACATAAGTCTGTTGTGTAAAAAACGAAAAATGATTTAATTGATCGCTAATTATCTTCACTTTGATGGGAATTTGGAGTCAATTCTTTTAAGAAATCGAAAAAGCATCAATTCCGAATGGAATACCAAATGCTTGCTAGAAGTGTTTACTGCTGTGAGCGAACATGGGTGGCAGAGCTACTGACGTTCATTCACCATGACATCCCGCCAGCGTACACACTGTCCGAAACGAGGTACATCGTAAACAATATACCAGTTCAGCTTTTGCGGTTTTTGATTTGAGTTTTTGGAATTATTACAGCGTTGATTTTACGCCATGTGCTAGAAGTTACTCAGTCTTTCCCTAAAATAAAAATAAAATAAACAGCTGAAAATGATACAGTTTCCATCGCTGGAAGATGCGATGCAGTTCAAGCATGTCGTGTAAAAGGTGCCCAAAGCGGTCAGAAAAAGGTGTTTGGAAAATTGGTTCAGGCGCAATAATCATTGCACAGATGTTGATGAGGAGTTCCTTGTAAAATTTGATGTTAAAAACTTTAACTATAAAAAAAATGGTTTCGCAAAAATTTACGTATGACCCACGTATTATTGTGAAAATGCATGTAAATTCTGTCCTCATTTTCTATTACGTCAACGGTATTTTTAAGTCTATTCCTGGACCTTTTTAAGAATTTGTTAATCTGCTTACATACATTATACTGGCCAACGTAGACTTCTATAGTCTACTGCTCTTTTCAAACAGTAGACTTACTTTTCAAGAAAAAAAAGCTTGAAGTAATTTATTTTAAAATATGTATAGGAGCCGGAATGATAATATAACCTTAAATCAAAATCTACACTTTTTTAATATTGAGAATAAATAATTTTATTAAAGTTCATAGCAACTACAATTATATAAAGAGTGTAATAAGAAGTAACTTAAAAAAGTAGTGCTCTTGACTAAACCGTAGTAATTTGGTTCTCCGGGGACATGTCGGCTTAACGGGGCTAACTCCTGGACAAGCGTTGATACCGTGTTGTAAGTGACAGGTGAATGCGACCTGGGGCGCTAGTGTTGCACGTTAAACTGCAATTAGTCGAGAACTGCGATACCAATTAAATGGTCTAAGCGTGAAGTGACTTTAACGTTTTTTCGTGACATGAAATTGAAGAAACAACTAAAATATTTTTTGTGCATTCGAGTGGGTTTCTGGTTGGTTTAAAAACTTAATTGGACTCGGTAGGTGGCGCTGTTGTCGAGATGCAGAAATCACCCGAGCGAAGCTGGGGCGGATCGCTACTTTGTTATAAATGTTCAGAACTATTACAGATAATTAAATTTGCAAACATTACACATCATATAATGTAATGTCATATTATTTATTACACATTTTAATCTATTTAAAACGATAAGTTCATTAACATAATAAAATGTAATAATATTTTATGCATACAATACTATAATACACAATAAATGGCTGTCAACCTTACTTTGTAGGAGGATTGGCGTCACCGGGAGCACACATACGAGCAATTACGTCGTATTATCTATCACTTATCATTACTAAAAACACATTTTAGACTTGACTTGTTTTTGACACACAAATGTTTCTTTATTTTTGTTTCTAATATTCACAAAATATAAATACTTTCAACTTACTGGTTGTAGAATCTGAGGTCTCCTTTATTTAAATTCCGTTTCCCGCTGTTTTTTCAACGCGTAATTATTGCACTATTTGCCATTTTTTTTTAAATAATTTGCATGCAGCGACGCTTGACACGAAAATTGGAAACGATTGATTGTGTTGACATTTATACGTGTGAATTGACGTGTTAGTGGCTACACGGGCTCCGCCCACTCCCCCGTTCTATTATGTATGTGTTATAGTATTCTGTGGTTTTATGTGTCTTTTATTATACTGGATGATTTTTTTACCATCTGGAAAAAATAGGGTGTAACAGGTGAATGGAATAGAAGCCTATGACACAGATATTTAAAAAAATTACTTTCACAATTAACTTATTATGAAATTGATCTATGAATAAATACTACTAATTTGAAATAAACTTTCGGTAATAAAATAATAAAAACTAAATTTTGAACTAAATAAATAAATCAATTAAAACTGTGAAATTTATAATAATATGCACCCAATGAGTAGTATTTATTGATAGATTAATTTCATAATATGTTGATGTAAAATATCAGTGCCATAGGCTTCTTTTCCGTTCACCTGTTACATTCTATTTTCTCCAGACGGTAATAAAATCATCCAGTATATATCATAGTTGATCATCAAACACTCACGTCTGTCAAAAGCTGTCAAAGCCTGGGAAGGGCTGTTTATCATACTCATGCAGCCCCGGCGATGAAACGTTACTAGAAAACGTTACAAGAAAACGTGTGTTTTTCATTTTTAATACCGTACTTAATTTCTTCACCACGTCGATAAAGAAATTTCACTTCAAAAATCTCGAGAATGAGTTGGCGTAATGATTGATTACTTTGAACTATCTTCAGAATCATGCAAAATTGTTCCTTTCTAATATCAACATTGCCCTCGTTCTTTTTTTAGGTAAAATAAAATTGCTAAGACTGCGAAAACTGGTAGTTTTACATGTAAACAAACTTTTTCAAAATAGTACCTCAGTGTAGCTAGTGGAACACAAGGTACTTTTTAATTATTTAATCTTTGCATTCAATTAATATTCAGAAAGAAATAATTCATTATGTGCATTCGAAAACAACGCTGTTCGATACTAAAATTATGACCTTTCCACCTGTTTGTATCATGTTATGAATACTGTCAAATTCATCATGTTGTTTGTTTATGAAGAACACATTTTTATGGTATGTTTTTTTTTTCAGGAACACATCTGACCTTTCCAGAACGGGCCAAGGTTTGTTTCTTACTTTCTTGATGTTCACGTGAGATTAAACCAATTTAATTAGTCTTTTTATTTTAATTAAATTCTAATTTAATTTTCATTTAGTTGAGTAATTGACTAAATAACAAAAACAACGCGCTTCGCTTCTTCTGCTTCATTAAAATGACTTGTTTACCTTTTATTACAACAAATTTGATTAATTTTTAAGTTTGCCATTTGAGTATGAAGTAAACGCTTTGGAAAGGTATCGCGAGTATGATTCTCTTTCTTTGTTGCCTTTTTAATGAATTTTCGCCAGTAAATTTCTTTATAATAAAAGCACAAAACAGAACAATACCTTTGTTTTCTCTGTCATTTACTTTTACTGTCTTTTATTTTTATCAAACCTTCGAGTTTACGAGAATGCGAGAATGCACTCCATTTAGAAGAAAAAATATAATAAAAACTTACTATAGTAAATTGCTTAATCGTCAGTTCCTTTAACAAGCACCTGGTCAATGCGCTAGTCCTCGTGTTTATCAATACAAATAATTATTCTCAATGTTTACATGACAGTTTTTGTGTATGTTCTGACACCATAGCTATTAAACTATTTTTACTGATATTAGTGCGTTTATTTTTAACCAAAAATTGTTATCTAAAAGCTGAAGATAGCCATAGCTAAGTATGAACATCAGGTGACGTCAAAGGCCTCTCTTTTTAATAATAATATCATGCAAAATCCAAAGCCTTAGGTTACCCTATTTAGGAGAATCACCGAACACTGCGGTAGCCGATGAAAAATTGTCACGCGAGAACGTTGTGTTTGTCCGATCCGTCGTCTGTTCTTTGGGCTACATGGCTGGTCCATTGTTTATTTCAGAATATAATTCGGTTAGACTAATTAATATCTCTTTAGTAATAAAAATTAATAGGTTGTTATCAATTTATTAATTTAAATTCTATACGTGGTAGAGCCATGCTGCAGTTATATTTGTAGCGGCGCTGTCGTCGCGCCACTAGCACACCGAAACACACCGAAACCTAAATCACGTCGGGGTCACCACTGTGGCCGCTTTTCCTTCCACGACCGCAATGGTGACCATCCGACGTGATCTGAACACGCAACCAAACAACCTTCGAAAACTCCAAGCTTCATCATCGTTATAGAGTACCCCACCCATTCGCTCCCGAGCAGATATCGTCTGCAGTCTTCATATCCTGCAAGCCATCTAGCTTCATAGGGTTCATCGCAGCACTGGAATAATAATGCTTCCTGTTCCTTCAAGCTACACTCTGCGCTACAGTGTTCAGCAAGGCTCTGAGTCTTGCTGCTCGCCTCTGCTTCACGGCACTCTCGCAGATTACTTGCCTTCTTCTCGACTCACCGTAGACTACAAGGCAATCTCCTGGCACTTGCACATTCGTCGACAACTCGACTGCACTATCGACCTCCGGTCTGAGCAGGGGGTGATGTGGCGGCGCTGTCGTCGCGCCACTAGCACACCGAAACACACCGAAACCTAAATCGCGCTATTAACATTCCGAAACATAGACAGTATATATAGAACTTCTCCGAATTATCACTTGGAGTGTCGGCCGCTCCCCGGGCAGAACACCTTGCCCGGCGGGAGAGCTCCCCTTTTCCTACCACGGCCACATATTAATAGTATAGTTGTAGTACGAATGGGTCGGCTCGACCAAGGAAGGACCACGCTCTCACACAATACCAGCGTGAAATAGTAGCTTAATGCTGCTGTGTTTCGTATGGTGAGTGTAGAGAACCGGAGACCCTTTTTACTGGAAACGAGGCATTCCATCTTAGTCCTCACGGGTGACAACGCATCTGCATTTTGATTTGTAATAGAGAATAGATTTAGATGTCTATGGGCCGCAAGAACCACTTACCGTCAGGTGTACTGTGTGCTCGTTTGTCATCCTATCCTATAAAAAAATACAGAGTAACATATCTTTTAACAGGGTCAGTCCCCAAATCGCCGAGCGGATCCCGTACACGATCGAACAGTGTATCGTCTCCGTCTGCACCTCCTCCAAGAAAGAGGACTTCATCTGGCGTATTTCAGGTAATACAACCATTCTCACCAACGCTGAACTTATTTTATTAGCTTATGATGATTTCATTAAATTTGTGTCGTATGTACACGTACGAAGAAAAAAATCAATTATATTATTCTTCTGCGTGAATGCAAGGAAAATAAATATATTTTTGTAGCTGTTCAAAATTTTACACTGAAACAGAATTGCTCAAAAAGTTACAAGCATTTATAAAACCTTTAAAAATTTAGGTTGATAGATATTTGTTTTCGAGTTAAATCCGTCATTACAAACTTAAATTGTTGGTAAAGTAAAGGTTTTGATTAATAATATACTTTTATTTTACCATTTTAAACCTTTCCGTAAGATTTCATCCAAAATTATTTAATTTGAATTAAGCAAAAATGTAATTAAAAATTCATTAAGGGTTATTATTATACTACTAAATAAATAATTAATAATAACCCCTTGGAATGTACTGACCGCTACCATGGTGTTTCTAAATGTTTTCATATTTAATTGTATAACATATTATATTCTAAATTAATATATAAAAAAAGTTTTCTGATGCGTTTCAATATACTTTTCAATTGACTGGGTTACAACTGCCTTTTAAAACCGTACTTGACTTTCAATAAGTATTTTTGTGATCTGTATTATATAGAAATATTTTGTTCTATTAAAAAAAAACTAAGTTAAAGGTAAAAAAACTTAGCTTAAAAAAGGATAAAAGTTTTTTTAACAATTAATAAAATCTTATCAAAAACATAAATATGAATAAAAATTGGCTAGGTGCGAGTCGGACTCGCTCATGAAGGATTCCGTACCGTCGTAAAAACACATAACTTCTAGTAGGGGATTTAATTTTTAATTTATTTTTATTATTTTTTGTTATAGCGGCGACAGAAATACACATTCTTTGAAAATTTTAATTGTCTACCTATTACGGATCATGAGATACAAGCCGCTGACATAGACGGACGGAGGGATAGACAGCGGAGGCTTAGGGTACGGAACAGTAAAAAGGGGGTTCCAGTTCCATTCGACGTCCTGGGGATGTTAGCCTCGCCGATAAAGGATCTGACCGTTCTGCACTGCTCCATAACAGTTCCTTAAGCGCCAACTTCCATAGAATTTGATTCCATAGAATTTGAATTCCTGAAAGAAAGAAAGAAATTTGCGTGAAATAGGTTGTATATGTTCATGGGCTGCTTTTGTCACTAAGAATGATGTGTGACCTATATTTTTTATAATTTTAACATATTAATTTAATTTACTGTTATATTAAAGTGATAAATGATAATAGATAGAAAACTGAAGTGATATTAAATTCGCAAGCTGCTTGAAACAACTTAAAATTATATGTTGCGTATGAATAGCAAATTTATGTTTGTGGTTAAAATTGTTTGCTTTTAAGTTACTCCTTAGTGATGGAAAGTATAATGTTATATTATATTTAATTTTGTTTAGTAACAGCTATAATTTGTGTTAACAGGTTGATGAAACCGAACCTCCGCCCAAAAGGCCCGAACTTACTCAATCTAAGTCGGACAATTCAAAGAAACGGCCCGAAGCCATCTCAAATGGCAGGCGGAAGACAGCCGAGAGTGAGAACGAGAAGACAAGCGAGAAAATCAAAGAGAAGAAGAAAGAAATGGTTATAGAGAGGTTTGACAACGAAGGCAAGTCGAATTGTGTCTCAGCTTTCAAAGAGAGTGATAGTTGGGATTAAGTAAAATAAAACTTTGTTGACATCAGCTTGTTTTATTTATTCATTTCCTAACCTTATAAGAGCTTACTCTTTTATTAGTTTATAATTTTATATTATTTTATTTATTTATTTTTATTTTTTATTTAAAAGCTTTATTGCTCTAACCTTAAAGGTTACAAAGGGTGGACTTAATGCCAGTTAGCATTGTCTGCCAGTCAACCCATGGCGTGGTGAGAAATTAGTGGTAGGTGACTTAAATAACTAAATATAATAAATTTATATAGATATAACACAAATTAAGATAAGGCTTGTAAATTACACTAATACATATGAATACAAAAATATATATAATAATCCATATATAACAGTTATCCTTCAAACCCACACATATACATACACATAAATACATATATACAGACATAATATGTCTGGATGAAGGTAGCAGTATTCACATTATGCTGTTGACATTGTTTTCGATTAGTAGTATTAGTGTTTGGTAGAAATCCTTTTCTACAAAGGCATCCGTCTCAGTAGACATGGCCCTCTAACCTATTTCTGCAGCCAAATAGCAGTGCTTGCACTCCTGGCTTCCCGCCGGAAAGAATAGAGACCCGGTATAATTATCAGCTGTAATACCTTTCATCTTAATCCTCAGAAGTGACAACGCATCTATAAATAAAATTTAAATTAGAATGAGGTGTCAATGGATTGCAGTAGCTTATAAGTTCGCATCATTATTATTAAAATTAAGGTTTTTATATGTATTTTACACTGAATAACTTTTTTACCGTCTGGAAAAAATAGGGTGTAACAGTTAACGGAATAGAAGCCAATGGCACTGATATTTTACAATTTTTATTCTATTTTACATTAATATATTACGAAATTGATCCATCAATAAACACTACTAATTGGGTACGTATTATTTTAATTTCGATAGTTTTTAATTGATTTATTTATTTAGTTCAAAAATGTTATTGTTATTTTTAGTACCGAAAGTTTATTTAAAATTAGTATTTATTGATAGATCAATTTCATAAAATTATGGTAACGTGGAATAAAAAAAATTGTATAATATCAGTGCCATAGGCTTTATTATTCCGTTCACCTGTTACACCCTATTTTTTCCAGTCGGTAAAAAATCGTATATTAGAACCTTCCTATGAGTATATAAATTCGCCATCCTACTAGAAAAATCATTAAAATCAGACGTGTAATTTATGAAAAAAAAAAAACATTACAAACATACAAACCTAAATGTTAACAGAAAAATTAAATATGGCGATAAAATAAAAACATAATCGACCGTAGAGGTTAAAAGATTATAGTCTGTGCAAATTTGACATTAGAAGCTTTACGAAGATATATTGTAATATTGGTATGATATTCGTTTCGAAACGAAACGAATATCATAAGCGCACGACAAAAATACGATTAGAATTGAGTTATAAACATAAATCTTTTCACAACATTGTCATGCCACGCCTTGTACTTTTTTTCTTAACTTTAACTCCACACTAGGATTTTCTCCTATATATTGGGGGCAGTTTTCATACATAAATTTCACGGACCAACATACCCGTAACAATTACTTGTAGGCCATACAAATTATTTTTCCTTGCGGGATTCGAAACTGCAGTCCTTAGCGCTGCAACTCATTGGTAAGACACTGCGCCACGGAGCCATTTTACGTATATACTTCCATACCGTTACAGCCTATTAAAGTCCACTGTTGAACATAGGCCTACCCCTTAGATTCCTTCCCTAATAGGGGGGATATTTGGCATAGTCGCCACGCTTGGCAAGTGGGTTGGCGATCGCAGATTTTTATTTTTAGCCGTTGTTAGGAAGACGCTGCTGCTCATCTCCTGATTTGTTTCTCACTGGCACCTCTTACGACACCCACGGGACGATATAGGGTATATTCTTACACCGCCACTGCGCGGTACACAAGGTATAATTCAATATTGAAAATTATTTAAATGATAATAAATATTAAATGTATTTGTCGTTGTATTTTGCACATCCCACAATACTCACTTGAAGTAAGTGCGCAATATGAACTAAAATGTCTCTTTAGCAGTCCTATTTTTAATCGTGCGCGCTAACTCTAAATTCACAGACATAATATTTTGTAATTTATGAAGATTATACAGATTTAAAAATAAACAATAAATAGTACACTAGAAATTCCTATACTATCTACTATATTATGTAGAAAAATAATTTTAATTCACATAACATTGAAATATATACAATATTAAAAACTATAATAAAAAAAACTAAAACTAAAAACTTAAACTTCAACTTAATTCTAATTATAGATATTTGAACACCGGAAATTCAAGTACAAACCGTACTTAGTAATTATTACAAAAGGAGCGGATTGAAACACATCATTACTGGTACAGTGCGATACATGTGTATGAAAAAAAAATCATGTGTTTACGAGTATGTTGCCGTTAAGGCAAAAATAATAAACATATGAGAACTAAAAACATACACAGATTTTTTTATACAATATGCTTAAACCAATAATTAATGTTTACGTTTATGATAAGAGTTACATCTTCGGTTGGAGTGCAGTGCAGTCCATCACGGTGACCTCTTGTCGCCAGCACGTTTGGGATTTCCAAGGGCATTGCATGAAGGAAGGCACATGCCGCTTTGAAACCCCAGCTATACGGCGACATTAAAATACCCATTTTTCTTTGTCCTTATACCTACAATATCAGCAGAAATGCTGAATCCGAAATGAAATGTTATACTGTAGGACACAGGCTGTTGTTACGGTTGTCTACGACCAGTTTTCAACTATACATTTTTACCCTCTCTATTGCTGAACATATATCTCCTTCGAGGAATGCCACCAAACACGGTCCTAAGCCACCTGCTTCCACCGACTTCCTGCATGTCTTACTAGGAACCAGCATCTAATTAATAAATATAATAATCTTTTCTTTATATAATATGTTATATATAATAGTTGGTTGGTGCGCCTGTTAATGATCATGTAACTGCAGAAAGACTTTATCAATTGAAGTCATATTAGAATTATGTTTGTTTTTTTGAGAGTCATGGATTAGGATAGTCCTAATCTAACCATCGTAGGATTTGATAGGAAACTGTACGGTGGCAATTGTAATGAAGTTATTATCACGTTCTAAATTTATTAAAGAAAGTGACATATTCGCAATAAAATATATTTGTTTAGCTCAAAAACCGAAATCAATAACCGAAAGAAAGGTTAGTGATTTATTTTTGGCATTAGACAACCATATTAAAAGTATATGGTATTAATACATTTTGTATTTACGCATAGGTTTTGCAAAACCTAAAACTAGGAATTTACAAAAATGTTATATTCGTAAACAATTTAGCGTGGATTTTCGTGCAGATTAATTTGTGCGGTTGGCTTTCCTGTGCTTGTCGACAGTGTCATTTCAATATCTTTAATGTATTTAATTAATTAATTAACGTTGCATTTCACTTATGTAGTCCGTTAAGGACAGGCGTACCGTGCCTAATTAAACGGTACGAAGTACTAATAGTGCTATTGTACATCAATGCGTGTTAATTAAATCTGCTACTGCGTCACGTTAAAACTAATCCTTTGATGTTCGCCGCGAATGTTCAATATACAACTAAAACCGTTATTTCGATGATCACGAAATGTCTTATGTTATTGTTTTAATTACTTAATGACGCAAAATTGACATTATATACAATAAATACTTCTTTAGCTATCATCTGTATATTGTAAATTTTATGATGAAACTGTGTACCTACGTTTTAAGATAAATATTTCAAGTACGCATATACTCCATACACTGTAAGAAATAGGGGCTTATATGCTTGCCTTTTTTATATAATATAGAACACTGGTTCTTAAATTCTGACGGAAAGGAATTATATATCTTTCGCCACCATTTAACAATACACTGCAAAACAAGAATTGGAATTATTAGAAGATTTTTTTAATTTAATTTATATGTAGTAATTAATATCAAAACATCGTAACCCTTATAACTGTAATCTTTGCGCTTATAATTTAGCTTATTTGGCATTGGAGGAAAAGACATCAACGGGATCCCGAAACGCAAAATTTTTCTTTCCTTTTTATATTTTTGTTAATAGAGAAATTAAAACAAATTATTTAGGAAAAGAATATAACATTAAACATTAAGAAAACATTAAACAAAGTAAACTTTTTTAAAGTCGTATAATATTAAATTACAAATTTGAAACAATTGTAGCTGATGCAATATAATAGCACTTATTATAGATAAGTATAACTTGACAGCAAACACAAAATACTGTTGAGGGATGGTGTTAACACCTTAACACTTTTGCGCACCTGTGACCTCTGGTGTCGATATTGATCGTTCTAAAACCTTTGATCTCCATAGTAATCTAAAATAGATATGGCCCGTCAATCTCAGTTGACCTTCGCGATCTCCTTAGTCGTAGATTTTATCAACAGCAGGTTTCTGCGGACGCATAGCTACTTGCCTTTTTAGTAGAGAAATGAAGTATCCGATATTTTGATACTCATTAGATTTTAATGTGCTAAGCAAAATATAAATAAAAAAATTTGGTTGTAAACAAATGTAGTTACGCATATTTACATAACAGTTCGTAATCAGGATTGTGACATGTATCTATTTTTAGAGAGAATCTCCAGGCACTAAGGTATTGTTACACTAATATGTTTTGGAATCACCGATTTAAAAAAATATTTCTCTTGAAAATGAAACCATATGATGATTGCCGGCGCACATATAATTAAGAGCTATGATCTTACAAAAATATTAACTGTAAATTGGTCAAACGTGGGTTGAACTTTTATATTTTCTGTAAAACAATTTATTGCGTATATTACTATTATATAACTGTAAAGTTTAATTGGTTAATTTATTCCATTTTTAAGGCTAGTAAATTTAATATGAAATCAGACAATGATATAGCATTTAAATAAGAATGAAATAAATTTAGTAAGTATAACAAATTTCAAATCTAAA